AAAGTGCCACGCCACCGCCACCGTGGTGCATGGTGCGACATGTCAGGGCCTCTCAGCCCCAGAGCCTTATTCAGGTTCAGGTTCGGATAATAACCACGCCTTATAATTTATAGCACTTTACGCTTTCAGAGAACTCGACAGAATTTTGCCCTTCATACTTTGTGACAGACAGACGAGGCACTGAGACAGAGAGTGTGTGATCTGCCCAAGATTTCCCCTAGTCAGTAGAGAAGCAGCAGCTAAGCTGGACCCTGGTCTTGCTGTTGTGAAGGAATATTTCCTAATTTTCCTCTTGCAACATTTCCCTTTATATTACCACTCCTAGTAAATATATGCATCACTGCTTGCTATGTATGTTTCATATATAATCAATTAATTAGATTTTAATATTATATATTTTGTTGGTTTACTTTAGAGAACTCTCCTAGGCTCTAGGCCATGAATAACTTCTGTAATTATTTTATTTGCTCATTTAAAAAAAGAGGTGTAAAGAGATTTAATAAGGCAGAATGTAAGACACACATTCATGTGGGCCCTCAAGAGAGAAGAGCATTATAGCCTGTGGCCAGGATAATCCCATGTGTCATGGGGTGGGGACCTGAGGACCTGGGAATCTGTAGGAAGCTCCCTCTCCTCTCTGGGAGAAAGGAGGACCCACCCTTGAAAAACAATGGCCCTTTACAGGCAAAAGGATGGCCCCTTTTCTAGGAGAAAGGCAAACCCAGCCAGTCTTTTTTTAAGGATGGGTTTTCTAGGATATTTTGCCTACATTCTTTGAACACGCTTGGTCTCTTCCTTGTCTTAAGATCTGCTTTCCGCCCTTTTGATTAGTTGATAATTTATGGGCTTAAAGCATCTTTAAGGGGCTTGGGGTGAGATGGGCTTAAAAGAAGAGAAGCACAAACAAGCCCAGAGAGTGCAGCTACAGGTCCCCTCGTGTGACTTTCATTGTGTTCTGAAGTTACAGTTCTCTCAAAAGTATGATTTTCCTGTTTCCTTTCTACCCATCTTCACTTTTTCTGCCCTAACTCATCCCCACCCATCCCCATCCCCAGGAGGATCCAAAGGTCTCTCCTCTCATGGCTGCTCCAGGCTGGGAGGAGGTGCTGATTCTGCCCAATAGAGATTAAAGTCTCCCTCCGATGGATCTAAGAGACAGGAATTCGGTTCTGTTGTTCAAAGAACCATCATTTTTTGTTAACCACTCCACAGCCTTGATGCCTCTTTACCTCCTGCCACTGCCTTGCCAAAAGAAACATCACAGAATAGGGTTCGAGGAGGTCCCCAAAGTGGAGATGGGGAACCTGGACTCACCCCACCCACAGGGCAGGTTACAGGTTTCCTGACTTGTAGCACAGAAAAAGAATGTTCAAGATGCATCAGTGAGGCAGAAAGAAGTTTAATAAGGCAAAATTTAAAGTACACACTAAAAAAAACAAAGTGTGGGCCCTCAACAGAGAGGCACCTATTGAACCGTGTTTATCGGTATACATAACATAGGATAAAAATGCCTATGATTGTGATATTTTTCTTTTCTATAATGTTATTTGAACCCAGGGCCTTCACACTGAGCACACAAAACTTTAATTTTTTTTATTTTGAGACAAGGTCTTGCTAAATTGCCCAGGGTGGGCTCAATCTGGAGATCTTCCTGCCTCAGCCAGCCTGAGTATTGGGATTACAGGTGTGCACCACCACACCCAGCTCATCACAGTGTTCTTTAGTTATGCACACACATGTAAAGATACAGTCCTTCCATGAGAATGGCCACAGGGAGGCTCTCTGAAGTTCAAGAACCAGTCCACCATCATGCAGAGGGTCTCATGGACAGCTTCCTGACTCCAGATTCCATGCCACATGGCTGCTGGCTTAGCACTCCCAGAGTCCCTGTCCTCATTGCGGTTTGCTAGCCTCATTCTCCTAAGGCTGTGGGCCCCTCAGGCATCTCATTTCACTTCCTAGACCTGGTCCCAGCTTGGACTGTGGGCCCAGGTCTCCTGCATTTCGATTCCACCCTGTCTGCCCGAAGACCAAGGCTTTGGCACCAATGTCCAGAGATGAGAAGGCCCTGCAATTCAGCTTTGTCTTAGGAGGCAGAGTGCTAGGTCACGAGAAAGGCTGCTGGTCACCAGTGACAGCAAGGGACTGTTGCACGTCCAGGGACCTCCACACCAGCCCCAGGACGCTTCATGTCCAAAGTCTACGAGAAGTCTCTGACGGTGACAGTGGGGTGGGGATCATGCAGCAGCAACAGGCACAGTGACTGCCTTGCTCTGGCCAGCGAGATCTGCAAAGCCAGTGAGAAGATGCCACAAAGGCAACAGTCTTGCCAATCTCTCCTTCACCATCTTCTGCTGTAGTTCAGACCGAAGTGTCCCCCAAAGATCCATGTGGTAAAGGTGTGATCCCCAGGGGAGGTCTCACCTTTCCAAGGTCTCACTTTCTCACCTTTCCAAGGCAGGGCTGGTGGGAGGTCTGGGGGTCCGAGGGTGAACCCTGGGAGTGGATAGATGGACCCCGACCCTCCCGTTTCCTCTCCTGGCCATGAGATGCTCATCTTGCTCTACCAAACTCCCCCCACATAGGGCCATCTCTCATGGATCCCAAAGCAATGCAGCCAACCAGCCATGGCAGGAGCATCTTAAACCAGGAGCAGAGCAAACCTTGTACTCTTGTTAAGTTGATTATGCAAGGCATTTGTTGTAGGAATGGAAAGCCGACTCATATACCCTTCAATTCTCCCTAAATCATGAGGAAAGCCTTCTTCCCTTGAACTGAAGTGACCCTAGGAGTCATCATGAGAATTGAAGGCACGACAAGCTAGCAAGGGCTGAAACCTGAGTCTACCTAGGGACCATACTTCCAGTCCCTGAGAAGTGAGACTGGTCTTCCCTTCAAGGGTGAAGAATTCTGGTATTGGAGAGAGGGCTCTCCACTGGAAAGGACTTTGTAGTTGTCAGGATTTTATATATTAGCCATGTCTCCCTGGTGTCTTATGCTCCTGAACATCAGAGATAGTCTCAGATTCCTCTGTGTCTCCCACCCCACCAGTACAATGCAGGCCATGTACATAGAAGCAGCTCCAAATAGAGGCCTCTGAGTGCTGAACAGAATAATGACTCTGCTGCACGTCTGGGGCTCAGTCATCTCATGGTGAGACGGGCCCCTCCCTCGGGGCTGTCCTGACTCTGGGCAGCTCTCTTCTGTGCAGAAAAGACTGTGGCAAAAAAGAGAGGCACTGTGGGCCGTGAGACAGATAAGCTACGCCTCTCTGCACCTCTGTTTCCTCACCTGGGAAAGACATGAGGGTACCGGCCTTCCTCACTTCAGGGGGTTTTGTGAAGTACAATTCAGACAGCAAATATGAAAAAACTTTTATAAGTCATAGAGCTAAACTCACAGAAAAGTAGCCATCCAGAGTAGGAGAAGAGTCGAATGGAGTTTATGAGCAGAGGATCCCACAAAATTAAAGAACCACACTGAGCAGATAAAAAAGGTAACAATTTCAGATGGTATGACGTGGGAACGGGCAAAAGAAGAGCAAGAAACATTTTCCATGTAAACAATGCAAGCTTTAGACTTCTTGGCTGTTCATTACAAGAAGAGACCAAGACACTTGTAAACCCATCTGCCACACGGTGGAGAATTCCATACGGCTGAAATCAGATTCTAGCTCTTGGAGAGTGGGTTAAGTAGATGCAGCCAGGCAGGAGCACTGTGAATAAAACACTGGGGAGGCACATTTCCATCACTCCTCACCACTTCCAAAGCACTTACACATACACTGTCCGATGCATGCTTACACCCGTGTGCAGTACTATCAGGTTCTTCAAACAAGCCTGAGAATCGTAAGGAATTCGATCAAAACCACACAGCTCACAAACAACTGAGCCCAGACTCAGGTGTTCTGATCCTAAATTCTTTGCTTCTTCCACCTGGAGGGAAACCTTAGGTTACATATTTCACTGTATTTATTGAAGGGCAAGATCGGGCCCTTGTAGCTGATTGGCAAAGATGTAGCTTGGTGTTCTTACTGCACTCTCAGTTGGCTTTACTGCCTGCACATCAAATCTTAAAAGTGTTTTAAATGTTAATGCCCATCATCTAAGTAGACTCCAACATTGACTGTGAAGATGCACGAATTTGAAGTCCCAGAAGCACTGCTCCCTTTGGCCCCAGGGTGGTATCATTAGAGGCAACCAGATTTGGATCTGTGTCCAGTTTCCTGGTTCTTGGCTCTCTGGAAGAACCTGGACCCTCTGTAAGTGCAACACCAGTCTCCACACAGGTCTCATCCACGATCTGAGATGTAAGCAGGACATCACGTGCTGACACAGGTCCTGTCTGTACACCTCGGTTGTGTTTGAACACAGGCCTGCCCAAGCCTCAGGAGCCCTCTGTGTTCTGGGAAACATGAAAGGGTAAGCTGATCCACAGCAGGCTGTCAGGAACTGGTCAGGAGGACCAGCCCAACCCCCTCACTGCACTCCCATGCGTCAGCCCATACGCTTGTCCTAGGGGCGGATTCTGTGTAGAGCATTTGTGGTTTACCCCCAAAGCAAGAGGAAAGCCTGAGATGCTCCAGGGTTATATTCCCTGTAGCGTAGAAAACACAGCTGGGATCGAGTGGATGTAGGCAAAATCTCTCTCTTCTAAATAACCCCAACCATTTTATCCATCGACTGCATTCAGAGGTTCATCTGTGATGCATCTGATGTGTACTGTACTCCAAGAAGTCTTCTTCCTCAGCTAAGGGGTCACCGGGAGGGATCTGGAGAATCTCTTAGACTCTCTGACCTAGATCGCAAACTCTTGATCCTAAAGTATCTGGAAAATGACAGTGCACCTACTATTACACGGAGCTTTCCTTGATGAGTAAAGAAATACTGAGCGACTATTTTGAATCGGCTGTTTTAATCAGAGGAAGAGATCATTTAGATATAGAATCCAAGAAAATGTCTCACTCAGAGTCAATCGAAGATACAACAAATCCACAGGCATATGTGCTTCTAATGTTTTTAGTTAGGGGCTAAACACAATGCGAGGTGCAAAAGACTTATGAGACATAGGTTTTGTCCCGAGGAATTTATAATGAAGCTGTGAAGGTAGTTATTTATGTGAGGTCTGCAAAGTAATAGCATGGATTGCATTTCCTTTTTAAAAAAGTAAAACCTTGACGACTGAAATAAGATGTTATCTGAAATAATTGTCTTGCAGAGTTATTCACTTACTTCAGTCATACTTCAGTTGCTTCCAACATTTCTGGCACCCTCTTGCGTTTACTGATGAACAAGTTTGAAAGGAAGAGGTGGCACCCACCTGCCAGTGGGGAGAATTTCCCCCTCAGCCCTCCACTGCAGAGAACATGGGCTGGGTCGGGACAGAACGCCTGGGTTATCGGCTGGCTCCTGGTTTCTGAAAGAAACACGTGGTTGCTCGCTGGTATCAGGTGATCTAGGAGGAAAATACGGAATGGAAAAGATTGGTTTCAGGAGACAATGGAAGCAGAGGATCAAAGGGTCCGGAGGCACCAGCAGGCCCGAGAGCTGAGGAGCTTTAGTGAAACACACTGGTGTCATTTTCTAGTGGAGACCCTGACCAGCAAGAGCAGTTGGAAGCAGCTGGCAAATGGAGAGCTCACCTCTTCCCCAGCAACTCCTGACCTAACTTTGCAATGTGTCCTTCTGCACAGAAAGCTGCCAGGCCCTTCACAGATGGACAAATCTGTGGCCAAGCCCTGAGTGTGGAGGCTACTCATTAGGTATTTTTGGGTGATTTCACACCCCTCACTTTAATTTTCCAAGAAAGGCTATTCTTTAAAGATTCAGCTGATCAAGTTTCAAGGAAGTCCAGTCAACTCTCTTGATGCCCACTTGAGATACTAGCCTGGTTAAACTTTCATGTGAGGCTACCTGGTACTCAACTCAGAGGCCCATATATTTATAGGGCAACTAACCTGCACCAGACAGACACATGCCAAGAAAGACATCCCAGTGGCTGACACGAGATGCCTGCTCTCGGGGACCTGGCTCCCCGTAGTGCAGAGCAAGCAAACAATTCTAATATTAGGCAGAAGGTGTTGAATTTAGGCAAGAATTTTATAGTGCTATGGCATTTTAACTGAGAGGAACCATACTGGGTTGAGCTGGGAAGCTGTCCCATAGGGTTAGAAGCTGCCATCCATCCCACAGGATTTGTAGACTTTCTCCGCTTAGAGATAGGCACAAGGGCCTTGCAGGAGTGGTGTAAGACATGAGAAATAGCTCCTGAGGGGAGTAGGACTGACACAGGGGACGGGAACAGAGCAAGACAGGGTGGAAGGGCAGGGTGCATCGAGGCTTCGGAGGCTCTGAATGCCAGGCGAAGGTTCCACCACAAGAGAGTGGAGAGAAGACCTCTGTCTCCCCTCCAGCGCATTCTCCTGGCTTAATGCCTCCCGAACCACTGCTTTGAAGCTCTCTTCTTTTTCTGATTTTCTGCCTCAGTGACTGAGATGATAAAAACCACCAGACGCCTGATTCGAGGGAGGTCCTAATGAGGGGAACCTTTCACATCTCATCTGGTTCCTTGCACTGGGTATTCTGCCAGCCTGCAACCTGGGAGTCCTCTTTTCTAAAACACTTCACGTGTCCTTCTCTAAAAAGCACAAGACTGATAGAGAGGAAAGTCATTAGGGATCTGGGTTCAGAGATGAGAGCTCGGGAAGAGACAGAAGAAAAGGAAGGAGGGCACAGGAAAATAGAAAAGGATTTCCAGAAGGGAAAAATGTTTTCACTGGTTGTGAAAGACAAGGTGGCCCTTCAAACCTAGGTCCTGGCCCCAGCCCACAACACAGACCCCACCCATAGCTGCCAAGATAACAGGAGGTGCAGCTAAGTTTCCCATCAGGGATTTCCCGATGTGACAGGACTGCCACATACAGAGAATGCTGTGCTGTGGGTGTATGTGTGTACCTGCACATGTACAGACAGACCTGAAATTACTTCCAAGTTCAGTGCCAGTTAGCTCACATTTCCCAAGCAGAGTTCCAAGGAGCCTGCTGGGGGCCCAGCACAATTTCCCTGTCCCTACCCCTCCGGGATTAAACTCTTCCTGCTCCAAGGCTCTGACACCAGGCACTTATGCACTACAACCTGTCCTCCAACCTACAGGCCAAGGGGTCCTGAAACATCAGCAACCAGGCCCTGGAGTGGACTGTTTCCTTTGTGCTGATTAACATCTTGGTGAACACTGTCTGTGTTATAAGAGGTTTACATTACATAGAAAAAATCACTCACTGTCACATCCGGCAAGCTATGCATGTCTGTAGTTTGGTGATTCAAAATACTTATCCACTGTTTATGTCAAAGTCTGATAGCTCATGCCTCAGGAGGCTTCTCCACCTTGCAGCTGTATAATGTGGTTCCTGTGACACACCAGGCTGTCCTGGCAGAAGAAGGGAGGGTGAGGATGTGGCAGGAATTTTCAAGGGCCAAGCTTCCAGTGGGCTTATATCATTGCCCAGATTTCACTAGCCAGAGGCTGGTAAGTCAAGGCTATAGCCTGATTAATGCAAGAGAGGCTGGGAAATATGAAACAGCACACAGGTTGTTGGGAGAGCTTCTGTCCCACGGCTTCCCTGCAGCCAGTCAGATGACACCCAGAGATGTCACCACTGGCAACACCCCACTGTTACCTAGGACTCCACCATCCCATCCCACTCCTATTATGCTTGATGAGGAGAATAAAAGTGAAGGTGCTGCTAAAACCCTTGATGGAAGCAGGTATTTGCTAAGCGTTGCTCACCATGGGCTCTGTGCTCTGACTTTGGTGCTGGAGGGGCGAAGGGGCAGAAGACAGTGGGAGGTGAAGAATGCAGAGGCAGCTGGACCATCGCTGAGCTGTGTTCCCAGATTCCATGCGGCTTCGCTGGCTTTCAGAGGCTGTGTGACCTCACTGGATTCCAGGCTCTATATTTGTTCACCATCAGTGTCTATTACTATAAGTAATCGAAAGGAATATAATAGGGTGAGAATGAGTGTTGCCTCCCCCCTTCGCCTTTCATAAAATCTTTTTATATCAGAGGGGTCTGGCCCCAGCCACTCCTAGCTCTATAATTAGTTCTGGGAGCTGTAAGGACTGAGATTTAGCTAATGACATTTTATGCTTCAATTCTGGGGGTCCCTCGGCCTTTAAATCTTTGTTGGAGCAGAGAGCCGGGGTTCCAAGCAACTGGGTCATCTGCACTGATCATGTGTGAGTCTGTCAGTGGGTTCCCAAATTTCACAAATGAGAAGAGAAGCCCCCAAGGCTGGGGTGACAACTGGGGCCCCTTCCCACTTTCTGTCCCTGGGCACAGGAGAAGAGGTTTGGTTCGTTAGTCACAATTAGCAGGCTTGTGTGATCTTCCTCCTGTGGCTTCCGCCAAGGCAGTGATTCTGCCACCTGCATACGGTGTCTCAAAGAGAACTCTGCCCTGAGGTTGCCCCCTTAGCCTCTGAAGTCCACAGGCAGCAGGAAGAGCTCCGGGCCCTCACAGTGCCTTTGAAGCCCAAGTCTATAAGACATGGGCCCCAGGAGGACACACGGCTGTTAGAGGGACTGATCACTATCTCACTTTTGGAAACTGAGGCCCCAAAACATGTCTGACCTGGTGGCATGCTCTTCCCTGTTTGTCTCCACGCTGTCTTACATGCTGTCCTCTTATTCTCTGGGTCCTCTTAGGCCCTGTCCCCTGGCTCCTTGCTTTGGCACTTGCCCTTTCCTCCTTATTCTGCTAAACTTCTCTTCTTTTAAGACTCAGTGCAGTCGTTTCTCTTCTGCGAAGTCTGCTTGAGTTTGTCTCTTCAAGAGGGAGTGGACTGTCTCTTCCTGGTATGGCAACAGACAGCCCCTCTGCAGAGCTTTGTGACAGTTAACAGTCTTACTGTGACCTAACAGTGTGCCAACTGTCTTTCCCTATCGACCTGTGAGCTGGTGGTGACCTCTGCTCTCCTCATGAACTCCACTCATCCCAGGCAGAGCTTGGCATGGTTTAGGCACACGCCAGTGCTCATCACAGATGTGAATGAGGGCATTCGAAATGTTTACCCTCTCCCTGTGCACAAGGATTACTACAAGATGGAGAAAGACAGCACATGTAACATGCTTGGGATGCTGGGAGGGGGAAAGGGGCGTACTAATCAAGTATTACTTTGAGACTTCAAGCCTCCGTTTGTCCTTATCTCCCAGGGTGAGGACAGGCGATTGTAGATGGGGCAAGGGCTCCCTCCCTCCCCCGCTGTCTACAGAGGACAAGAAGGTGGGCAAAGGCTGGACACTGGGTACCTCTGTGGCTGAGAGGTCCTGTGGTCAGGCCAAGCTGCACTGCGCCTCATCATTAAGCAGTGAGCAAGGATATTAATAGCAGGGCAGGCAGCATTGTCTGTGTGGGCAAGTGCAGCTCTTTCCAAGCTGTATGAGGCCCTCTCCCAGGAAAACAGTGCTCCACAAATAACCACAGCATGCTCGGAATTCCTCAGGGCAGGAGCCTGGGGATAATTAACAGGGCAAGGAGGACCCAGCTCCAGGCAGAGCTCCTGGCAGGGAGAACTCAGGGTGAGAGGGGGTGAGGCTCGGGGTGGGGCCCAAGTGGAAGGGTCAGCCCTCCTGGGGCTCAGTTTTGCACTACAAGAAACCAGCAAGGGGATCTTGGAAGAAATCATGGAAATTTTCTGAGGTTCCTGTAGACTAAAATTCTACCAATTTTGTAATGTATTTTGATAAACAAATGAAGGCTTGTGAAAGGCCTGGATTGATTGCAAAATAATACGTCAGTGATGGTGGAAGCAGTGCAGTGGTGCTGATGTTGGCTTGTGAGGGGAATGAGTTCCTCGAAATGACATCGAGTTGCCTTCACAGTGCCCGCCTCTGGAATCAGCCAGGGATAAGGGATGCACCAGGAGCCCAGGAGCTCTGCACGCACCGGCATCCTGTCGTCTCTGCAGGCCAAATGCCAGGCTTCCTGGCACAGTGAACCCACCACACCTGGCAGGAACTGCCTTCCCTACAGATCCTTTCTTTCAAACCACAAGCCTCTGTTTGTTGATTAGTAAATCTTTTCTTTTTCCCTGTGAACTAATACAAAAGCAAATTTTAAGGAGGCATTTTGCATTTTGATAAAAAGGATCACTGAAGGAATCCACACCGCCATCCTAGGCTAAGCAGAGACCACTCTCAGCCTCTTTCATCCAGCTGTGCTTTTACACCTGCTGAAGATATCTAAAGGTGAAAAATGAGGGCCAGTGAGCACGCCACACTGGCAAAGGCCGTCACTGTTCACCCTGGCCCTGGCAGGTGGCCACCACGCCCCGTCCCCTCTCAAGCCCTGTCCCTGGTGAAGCACAACTCCGCTCACAAGTCCCTTTTTGACCTCTTCCTTTCACAGCCCCGTTATGCTCATGACCCCATAAGACCTCACAGCTATATGAGAGCAGCTGGTCTGCTCAGGGCCAGGCCTGGTCTCAAGTTTGGAAATAAACCTGTCCTGCTGCGCTTGTACTGTTGTTTCTTCCTCCTTTAATCCTAACAATCACTCTGGGCTTCATGCTTTGGCTCTGTACTGACTGGACCTGCCTGACACCTGCTCACTCTCTAGGTGTGTACCCTTGGACATGTGATGCCCTGTCTCGTGCCTCAGTTTCCACAGCGTTGACAGATCCAGATGATAATGCTGTCTACAAAGAGCATGAGATGAGGATCCGACCTGTGGAAAGCGCTAAATTAATATTCTCTGGTAGTACATCCACTCCTCCATCGCCTGATGTGACATATCCCCACAGTCTTGGAGAGAGTCGCTCTTGGCATGGGGCTATCTCAGAGTGACACGGATCCCCTGCCCACTCCATGCAGAGGAACCAACAGAAGCAGGCTCTAGCCAACTCCTAAGAGCTCAAGTGTCCACCTGACCCTCACAAGCAGCAGGGACTTGTCACCTCCTCTCCAGTGACTTTTTCTTTCTGCCTGCAGGGCACAAGTCTGCAGCCCAACTCAATACCGCAAAGGGGACAGTTCACTGGGCCCAACAGCCCAGGAGACTTGGGCATTGTCTTGGTTTCTTGGCCCTGCCACAATCAACAGCCACAAACTGGGGGCTTTGCACAGCAGGAATTCAGTGACTTCCAGTTCTGGACGTAGAACCCCCTGCTCTAGGCCTCTCACCCAGCTTCCAGAGTTTTTGGCTTTGAGCTGTGAAACTTCAATCTTCACATGTCCTCTACCTGAATTCGTGTCTCCCTGACCCAGATGTCCCCCGCATAAGGACACTGATGCTACTGGATTAAGACCCACTCTAATGACCTCCTTTGAATTTGCTTCCCTCCAGAATACCACATTCTGAAATACTGGGGATAAGAACACCAACATCGTGTTTTCAGGGACATAACTCAATCTGTAACAGGCACATTGTCTTTAGACCCTCATTCAGCAGGAGAGGCTCTGAGAAGGATGGACACTCTCCCATTTTATAGCAAAGACGCCGAATCCAAAGAAGAGCAGGGAAGAGGAAGAAAGCAGAAATCTCAGGTCTCTGGACTGGATTTTCTGGACAGGGAGACGCCTCGATGGCTTCTCCACACCTGCCCCGATCCCCGGGAGACTGGGCTGAATTCAGACTTCCCCACTCCACTGCACTCCTCGTGAACCTGGTGCTCAGAAGATGGGATTTAAATGCTTGTTGCTCCAGGGCACGAGGTAACTTTGTGCTCGCTTAAGCCTGAGAACATTTCTCCCAGTGCATGCTGGATCAATACTTAGGATCTATAGGGCCAGCCGCAGCACAGGTTCGAAATCAAGATAGAACTGGAATGACCAGAGGCAGCTGAGATTCCCTGGCATCAGGCATCACAATGGCTCTCAGCACCTGCTTACATGAGAAGCCTCGTTCAGCCCTGTAGTAGAGGTCCTGCGATTCTCCACAGCCACATTTTCCTGATGGTTTGAGAAGCACAACTGTGGCCATGGCTGTGAGTGCAGGTTTGAAATGAAGTCGAAAGAGTGGGATCCTTTTAGGCCTGGACCCTCTTGCACAGCTTTGGGAGCCTCCAGAGCAAGAGAGGTTGTAGAAGTGTATCACAGGAGATTCTTTCTCCAGTCCTAGGCTTTTACTCTGTAAATTGCTCTCTGTGTTCATAATAGCACCTATAAAATAGGTGTAAAATGATTTATTGCATCTGGGGAATCCGAATGAACCATCCTTCAAAAGGCAGGTACAGCCCTCACTCATGCTCAGTGCTGTCTGTGGAGGGAAGCAGGGGAATGGCTGTTTGGGAACAGATAAAATGGGACAAGGATAGCCTAACTTGAGTCCCCAGGATCTTGGGAGTTTTATGGACTCCTCTGTCTGGCGCTCCTACGGTAAGTCTTCCATATTTCAGGATCAAGGCAAGAGTAGTTCCCTTTTGTCATTCAGACACTGCCAGTTCCCTACAGGGAGACTGGCTGCATTCCACAGAGAAACAGCCTTGTAGGTGTGCAGGGCAAAGAGCAGGATGCTCTATCCCCTACCTGACGACCAAGTGGAGCTCTCTGGGTGTATTCAGAAATTTGAGGAGATAACCCTGCAGCAAAGCAAACGATATAGCAGATGGAAATTGTACAGGCCATTTGGTAAGCTGTATCTCTCTGTCTTTGTGTGCATCTTTCGTGGGGGGGGGGCTTTGAATTCATTAATGATGTGTGTTTTCAATGTAGAATTAGTAGGAAGAGAGGAATTTGGGTTCCAAGCTTCTCTGGGGGATGGGGAAGTGGGTGACCCGTGCCTGAGAGGGAAGGAGGGGCTGGCCACACCTCCAAAGCCTGGGCCCGGTCAGCATCTCCTCAGAATCTGCATCTGAGTCACCTCCGCATCTGATGGTTTGATGACAGGGCCCTGGCATGCTTTCTGTTGCCAACAGGTTGCATTAACAACAGTGGCTGCATGGATTGCTTTTGTGTAAGTTTGAAGGGTTCATTAGTTTCCTGCCTCAAACATTCCCAAGTGATTTTTTAGAAAGACCGAAAGAGAGTCCTGGATAACCTCTGATTTATATAGAATGAACTGTTTCCTCCAAGTCATATGCATTTCCGGTATAATTTCCACTGTAACTGAACAATAAGGAGGAATGGCAATGGGATATTCACTCTCCTGGGGAGGAAGGTCAAGGCCCCATGTCTCACAGATGAGGCTTGCAGACATGGACAGAGAACCATCATCATCTCTACCATCCTTTGCTGTGCATCCTGGCTTCCAGGTATGGGGTAAACTGCCACAGGAGTGGGGCCGGAAGCGGTTTCCCAGTACTGTCACTCTGGGGCCCTGGGTACAGGAAAGCTGTTGGGGCTGTTGCTGCCATTGCTTCCAAAACTCTGACTGCCGGAAAAAGGAGAACTCCTGGGTCTCAGTTGGGGGTGGAAGAGTCCAGAAGGGCCTACGGATGGGATGGGGCAGGCAGACCTCGAAGCCCCTGGATTCTGTCAACCTCCCCATTCAGAGCACTGGATCATCGATGCCTTCGGAGCACATGATGGCAGTCTTGTTTAGCACAGGGCCAGGCAAGTGATTGATTGCCATCATTATAAGTAGTACTATCTGCAATTAGTAGTAATTGCATGCTCATCTTTGGAGATCTTCGACAGGTAATTGAATCACACTAAAGAATTCCCTCCCTTCTGTCCCCCTTTCTTTTCTTCCCCACCCTTACCCCACGCCTGGAAAGGAAAGAGAAGACAATTAATATCAATCAGGTCATTATCTTTCCCTGAGATTTATGAAATGAATTGTTCAAATACATGGCCACATGTTAGCTCTTTTGCATCTCTGCTATTCAGTCGTAGGCATATGTTTAACTCTTAGGGTTCCAGGGTAATTCTTGAGCATTAGCTTCCTGC